GTAAAGGTATATGCACACGTGTGTGTGTGTGTGTGTGTGTGTGGGTGGGTCTGTTTGCGTGCATGCATGCATGCATGCGCGAAATTGTTGCTGGTGGGCCCCAGCATGACTGCTCAGGTTGGAGCAATCATATGTTCAGCTGTGATTTCCATCAACACATTCCTGGACGCTCACACACTCCCTTAGCGGAGCTGTGCACAGCAGCCCCCAAGGATGTGACCTGCAGCCTGCAGACAGAGGGCTGCCTCACAAGTGCTTATCACAACACAGCAGCCTGTAGGATAATAGGAGGCCTTAATCTGAAGCCACGTGGAGCCATGTAAACTTTGACTAGTGTTGTTCCTTCACACTGGCCTCATAGAAAACAGTTGATGATATACTACACCGCTCTGCAGAAGGCCAGCAGGTCTTACCATGCCAGACTGATTACAGGGTAGAGGTCAGAACACATGGACAGCAAATGGTCCCTGGTCCTCTACACTGGGGGTTGGGCATAAGGCTGAAAACACCACTCTTGAAAAGGCAGCAATTGTTACAGAAACTGTAAAAAGGAAATGCCAAGCCAGCAGGCTACACATGCTGCATACTCTTATGCATTCAAAGCTGGCAAAATGCAAACAGTAAAACTGCAGAAAGTCTTGGGAGCTTGGAAAAGAATATCAAAACTGCTCCACCAATTGAGCTCATGTTTTAAGAAGAAGCTTTATTTAATTGTGACACATAAAACAAAATTGTGCTTGGAGCTGAGGGCCCCAGGCTACTGCGTGTGCCGCCATCATGGGCAACTTGAGGGTTCAGTGTCTTGCCCAAGGACACTTCGACATGTGGACTACAGGGACAGAGATTCAAACCTTCAACCTTCCGGTTGAGAGACGACTGTTCTACCCACCGCACCACTGTCGCCCCTTAAAACTGCAAAGGTGCTAACATGTAGCCAAAAAGAAGGAGAGGGTACTGAATGAATCTTATGGCTGAAACACTGATAATAAGCAGCTTAAATATTCAACTCAGCAGAACATTCAACCATCTGTGCTGAGTAATTACACAATAACTGGCACTTAATCAGCTGATGGTGAGCATTTCAATCATTCAGTATTATTGGCAAAGTGCATGGCTGGCATGAGGCCACAGTGTACTGCGTGCTTTAAAATGCATGAGGGGGGTTCACTTTGAGTTTAGGTTCAGCCCTGAACGTAGTGGTTATTTTTTCCTGCCCAAGGCAATTTGCTCACCATGGTCCACATCTCGGCTCGCAGTCACAAGGGTGTCACATTTGTCTTGCTACACAAATATTGATATGGGCTGGTTGGGTTGAGTAATGACCAGATGTTATGTGTATCAATAATAAGGGTTGATATATTTTTGCTTTTTATGGCAAGTGGCAATGATTCCTCCCTTCAACACTAATATGAGACATTTTGTATTAAATTGAGCTATCGCTTCTCATTTCAGGAATGTCTAGGCAACTCCAGTTTAATCCCACCTCAGGGCTACGTGTCAGGTTTGCCTGGCACTCCTTGTGTAATTGATGCAATGCATATCAGCTCAAAGTTCCTATGTTCAAACTCGTTGATAAAATATTTTGCTGTTTGCTACAGCTGAAATTTCATAGACGTACTACATTTTCACTGTTTAAAAACCCGGCAGCAATCCAGTACAAATGAAAAGGAGAAAGAGGTCATTCTGAAAAATAGCCAGGTGGAAAGATCCTCCTTCCCCTCAAATTAAGGGAAGAAATAAACAAGTGAATTAATAATTCAAAAGTAATATAAATCAAGTGTTACCCTGACCCGCTGACTAATAGAAACACAGGTAAAATCAATGACTGTGTGAGTCGCTGAGCTGGGTTGTGGTGGCTTGAATTCACCATGTGGTGGAGCTGAGTGATGGTTTCCCAAAATGTGCCTTTACTAGAACACACAGGAAGCAGGTACAGTGGTAGAACAAAAACACAAGAGAATGTAGACACTAGATACAGTGCAAAGGTACCTAGGACGAATCTAGCAAACAATAACGGCATTCTAAAACGAGTGTGAAAAGTCTTCTCTGCAACACAGCAACCTCTTGCCTTCCTCCTCTCCACACTTTCTCTATCTCTTTCCTTTGGCTATATCCCCTTCTCGCTCTCTGCCCTAATGTCTTTGTTTGCTTTCTGTCGTGCATTCCCTCATTTTGTATCTTTCCCCCCTTTTTCCATGCTTGCTTCTTCTTTTGTGCTCTCTGTCCATCTACATCTGCACCTCTCCCCTCACTGTCCCTCCCTAGGAAGACACACATACACAGATAATACTGCAGCTACATACTGCTTCGGCAACATACTGCAGCAGGCGAGCGTACCCCACTGCAGCCTTTTAACACAATAGCCATTTCTCTCATGACCTCAAGAAGAAAAAAAGCTCTTAGTTTAAATGAACTGCATGTCCTCTGCATCAAAATCAAACAAATGGCACATCTGGTTCAGACTGATGTTTTTAAATCCAACCTGTTTCACACAGAGAACACCCAAAATTGCAACAAAGATTCTGTGCAAATGCTCCTCATGCCGCAGAGTTCAGACTTTCATCAACATATGATAAAGGCAGCAACATGTGCTATTTCCATTTATTGACGTATGTAGTTTTAGTGAAGTCGTCCTTTTGCCTGTGGACATACCACCCCTGATTCGCCCTGTCTTGCCTTCTTCCCTCAAGCATGACGGAACTAGGCGTGCTATTGTAACACAATGGGATTTTTTTTATTGAACAGCGAACAAACATATTCGCACATACACAAACAAAAACACACAGAGTAAGATATCTAGTGGCTGTGGCACAGAATAGGACACACACTGATGGCATTGTCTGAATATCCAGGAGTGATATAAGCAAATGCCAGTGGCGACAGACGGCCAGACAGTAAACAGAGATGCACATGCACAAAATGTGCAAATATGTATGATATTCAAGGTAATGGCCAAAATTATACACAAATGTGCCTTAACCAGCCCGTATTTTGTATCAGATGTAGAATTCATGTTTTACATATTTTGAACAGTGGTGCTGTGAGTGAAGACACTGTCCACTATATCAGTGCCCAACCCTGTGTTATCCTTTGTAACTATTGTGCATGTCAGGCCACTTGTTCATTGCTTTCTAATATTATATTTTCTTTGATTGTGTTGTATTACTGGCACTTTTGCCTGCTAAGATCATCATACAGAATTTCATGGGCCACAAGTAATGTATTCAGAAGCCTTCATTACACACTCAGGCAGACAGGTGCTAGCCCCAGGGATCCCCCTGGCCTCTACATGGTGAACAGCATGATTTACCCTACTTTATTTCATTTCTAACATGACTGTTACTCGCTGATTACCGTTTATCAAATTAATTTTTCATAAATGTTAGCACTATACGTATGTCTAGGGCTTGGAATCTTGCTTCACTGACCCTTTTAAATACAGCATGCTCATAAAAAGAAATGTATCACAGCACTCGAATAAAGTGTTATAACAAGCACACAGTATAGGCTAAGTCATACGATCCGGCTATAAAAGTCAACTAAAGCTTTTTAGATGGCAGAAAATAAAAAGAGGCCATGCGCAGCCCCATTTAAATACAAGACGGATGACTTCTTGCCTGCACAATTGTTTGCGGGAAATCAAACTTGCATGTTGCAACCACTGAGAATCTTTGCATTTTCAGAAACAGTAGGCTCTTTATCTGAAAAGAGCTGCTACTCTAATAATGCAGCTCAGCCCAAGTCTGCTAACTGTAAACAGAAGCAATAAAAGGTGGCCTTGAAAAATGTAAAGAGAGAAGAAGGAGTGATTATTGTGCCTGAATGTGAATACAAGGACAATGAGTGATGACTAAACTCCAGTCACTCCCTTTTCCTCACCAGCTACACCTCTCACCTCTGTGTGGGATGTCTACAGGAATCATCCTGCCGTCAAGGTCAGCAATGAGAAAGACAGGCTCTCCTCTGCGGTGCAGCATGAGGAACTTTCCTTGGCACTGCATTATTTTTAACTCACTGATTCTCCAAACGCTGTGTTGTACTGTGTCGTGAATACATGAATGTAGTCAGCTCTGACACTGTTCACAAATATGTCATTGTGCATGATAAAAACACTATCTGCATTGACTCTGTTTAGTATCACGTGTCTGTACAGTGTCACATTTTTGGAGACGTTACTCAGCAGTGTTCAAACAGAACAGCCAGGTGAACTCAGTGTGCTAGCAGGAAGTGTAACTTCCTCAAACACAGCAAGCAGTCTCTGACTAATGTATGCCAGACAACCTGCCGTGAAGATTTTTTTGACAGTCCAGCACCAGATAACATCAATCCCTTCCTTGAAAAGAGCCATAAGCAAACCTAAAACAACTGTATAAACTCTCTAAAGGCTTAATAGGTTTTTATACTTGCTCAGTTCACTCAGACAACAAGCTACCCACAGCAGCCACACACTCACCACCCGCACAGTTTGGAACAAACACAAATTCACCACCCCACCATTTGGAAGCAGCTGTTATTAAAACTCTTTCATCTGCTACAGTACTTTGCAAAACTCATACACCACCACAAGTCTAGCTTCAAATTCAATCACATACTCTAAAGACACTTTTTACAACTTTTAGATTCTGTCAAGTTATGTTTTAGACTTTATACTCTATAGTCTGCTGCTTTGGTTGTGTGCTAGTGACAGTCAAAGACAGTGTGCAGTACAGTTTTGTAGCATTTTACACTGCCAGCAGACTGCAGTGAATGAAAAACTAAGAGATCACACAATACACTGCATTTAAATTTCATTCACCTCCAAGTACATTGCACTGTTCCGCTAATTACTGGGCCCAAGCCACATGTGTGGACAGTTGTTGTTCATGCATGTTACCATAGTTACATGCCTGTTTGCAGTGGCTCCTTTGGATCTCTCAATTGGCAAGAGAACAGTCATAAAAACAACAACAATGCCAGTACATCTGTGTCACTTCACTTGTTGCTAAGACATCAGTACTTACTGCTTTGGACGTTGACAACGTTAACAGTGCCAGTGGAGTTGTCCTTTCCCAGTGGGTTCTCCACCACACATGTGTAATTCCCAGAATCCTCCAGTTTTGCACTGTTGATCTGGACTTTGGAGTTTTTCCTGTGGGAGACAACACTTGCACAGCTGAGTCAGGGGAATCAGGGCAGGGAGGAAATAGCATGGAAACACAACAAGTGGAAACACTGGAGACAGAGAGACAGCCAACTGGGCAAGCAGCAGCATGGCAAGAACTCTCAGCTTTAATTTAATAAGAGTACAAATCATATACTTTGGGGCCAAATAATTATCTCCATTATCTACTTTAATATAAAAGGGGTTGTTATTTTTACTAATATACAGTACTGTACTGTCTAATTTTTGTGAGCCTATCTAACCTTTGCTCAATAGTGACCACTGTGTGCACAAGGGGTAATTACATGATAACCATAATAAAAGGTTCCTTTTCTTCATTTTTTATCTCTACAGCCCCAAAAAACATTTCTCCCAATAGACCACTACCATAACAAAGAGGCCAAACTGTGAACAAGGTCAGTTATAACTTGTGTTATGAAGTGTTTAAAAAAAAAGCTGTGTGCGATGCCATCTCAATGTCAAGGTTATAGACAGAGTAACTGAGCAGGCAGGGCCAAGGGCACGTGCACTGGTCTAAACAAAGTACAAGTGAACCAGGAAAAGTGAAAACATTTTTTACTGAGCAATTTTTATTCAAATGAATGAGCACAAATTCAGAAGATGTCAGCAAAATTACACAATAAGGTCTGTTATAAACACAACAATGTCTCGCTAAAGATAGCAAACATTACCAACACTTGTACTACATCAAGCAGCACTTGACAAGTGGTAACTTGCAAATGCACTGAAACAATGTAGATGTGTTTTAATTACTCTAAAATGTACGTTTTATACTGTGTGTATGATAATAATAATAATAATAATAAACTGTCTTGATTCAGTATAAACTTTACACAACATTTGAATGAAGGAATAAGTATTTATAATCCCAAATATTAAATAGATCATTTCATTCCATTTTGATATTTATTTTAAAAGGATTTTTAAACCACTTTAGCATAGCCTGCTCATAAAAGCAACCATGCTTTAATTTTGAAGCAATCTCTTTTCATCTTCCACTGTTGGTGTTGGGTTTACAGGACACAGGCGACTTATACTCACTGGGTTTTCCTTATTTTGATTTCTCTGCTTCTCTTCAGTTCGTTGCCATCTTTGAACCATCTGTAGCTAGGAGGAGGGTTCCCTGTGGCCTCACACTTTACTATGAGCTTTTGTCTCTCATTCACTGTTATTGGGTTCTTCATTGGTTTTAACTTTGGAGCCGCAGCTAAAAAAAAGAGAGAAAGAGAAAAAACACCCAATATTATTAATCACCACAGACAGAAACTTGGTTATATTTTGATTTCCACTGTTAATTTACACTTGTGTGCTGGTGTTTTAGAAGAAACAGTGATACAAAAAACAGTGAGGCAGCAGTAAAGCCATTCATGAGCAGCAGCTCTCTCATGTGAGCACCACATGTTGTCACTAGAAACATTATCAAGCTTGCTTCAGACTATTAAACAGTATTGTTTGCTAAAAAAACAAAACAAAAAAAAAAACACGTGAAGCAATATTTGGTACACATCTATCAGCTGATGAAGAAAATCTACAACCACAAACCCATGTGCAATTAGAGGCAACTGGTAAACAAGAAAGCCAATAGCTTTACAACACCAAATAACTAGTGTGTTGTCACAGTTTTCTGATAACATTATCAAAAAGAAAATGTTTTTGCAGTACTTTGCAAAATCTGTTGATTTCTGTCACATTCTGAAGATTCAGCCACATTCAGTCAAGTATGTTCATGTTTTAAAATGTAGTGGTCATTATATGTGATGTTCGAACCATCGTCTTGGAATATTTCGTAATTTCTTGCAACATTATTTCCCCCTTCAGAATAAAAAACTAATTGAAATATGAAAAATGATCTGTCTCAAAACACACACACAACACGAACTTGCACAAACACTTGCCAGCTGACAGCTGCACACATGTTTAGGAGAAGACTCATTCAAGGCGGAGCAAGAGAGAAGGGGTGAACAAGGGTCAGCCGAGGGGCTGGCCAAGATGCCCCCCTCTCTTTGTCTTACTTACACACAAGCGCACACACCCTCTCCATGTGTGACATGTACAATTTCATGCATATACTAAAGCAAATAGTCCATCATATTTACTGTGAATCTCTAAAGGATAACAGCAGAATCAAGACAAACAAGCAAAATTAAATTCATATAGATAATGAGTTCAATTACACACTGAAACAGAGGTGCACCAAAATTATCCTGTTGTCCTATTTTTTGAGAGAACGCCCTACTTCACTGACCTGGTAAAGGCGACATGTCTGGTCAGAAAGAAAAACTTTAATGATGCTGCATTTTTATTTTTATCTGAATTTAAGTTGTGATGGATGGGGTACAGTTAAATTTTACCTCTGCCAGTGACACATATGATGTGTACAATTTGAAAGCATTTTAAAAACATAAGTTAGCTTTTGTGAGATAGTTACTATCATCCATTGCTGTGGTGTTTTGAAGAGACTGTCCCATGTGAATTCTGCAGAGGTCACTGTTGTTTATTACTGATGTTTAGCTCACTGTATCAGCCACATACACAAGTATTCACACACAGACAGCATCCCTTTCTTAAGCTTTATAAGTCTGGCAGATGTCTATGGCAACAAGTACCTATGCCCTGTGTCTGACAGCATATCCTTGAGTCTACACCCTGACATTGAAGCTCTGCTCTGCCACCTCTGGTCAAGTGGCACTAATACTAATGACAGGTGCCAGGAGTCACAGCTCTCACTTCCAGCCATAGAGCTCTTTAGTACCAGGCACTGACCAACTTTTCAGTTTTTTTTTAAGACAACTGCACAACTTAGATCAAGTCAACTATCATCCACCTTTGTACACACATTTTTCTCTCACTTTACAGTCTCAGAAGATGTAGCCTAGATGTTGTGTAGATTATTTTAGAGATGTCTTCATGCTTAATTTGTATGGTAATCTTAGAGGGATACTTACTAAGGTTTTGTGGCTCTTTTTCTGGTGCTACACAGTGAAATTGTGTGTTCATATTTACTAAGGAGTTGCAGCGGGGTTTTGCAGTAGTTTGGTTTTCTGTGTACATTAGTCATGAAATGTGATATGATCTTCACCAAAGTCACAAATATCAACAACCAATATTTCTAAGCTGATAAAACACAGAGTCATGATCTTCAATGTCTTTATTTAACACACCCTTTAAACATACAGAGTGATAGTAGAAAAAGTAATGGCAACAGTGTTTTAATAACTGCCTGAACCACCTTTGGCAGCAATAACCTCAAGCAAGCGCCTCTTGTAGCTGTGGATTAGACCCACACAAGGTTCAGGAGGAATTCTGGACCATTCTTCCTCATAAAACTGCTTCAGCTCAGCCATATTCACAGGATGTCTGGTGTGAACGACTCTCTTGAGGTCATTCCACAGCATTTCTACTAGGTTCCAGTCTGTGCTCTGACTGGGCCACTCCAAAAGGGGGATTTTGTGTTTCTGAAGCTTCTTCTGAGCTTCAGCTTGCAGACAGCCACTCTGACATTATCCTGTGGGACACCTTGATAAACGTGGGAATTCATTTCCCCCTCCAAAATGGCAAGCAGTCCAGGGGCAGCAAAGCAGCCCCAAATCATAACGCTCCCTCCAACATACCTCACTGCTGACATGTTTTCATGCTGGTATGCAGTTCTCTTTTTATGCCATACATAGTGCCGTGTGTTCTTCCCAAACAATTCTACCTTTGTTTTATCTGGCCACAGTAGTGCTGTGGAGTGTCAAGGTGGTCTCTGGCAAACTTCAGGTGCGCTGCAATATTGTTTTTGGAGCGCAGTGGCTTCCTCTGTGGCGTCCTGCCACGAATACCATGCCTGTTCAATATTATGGATATAGGGTGACTCATGAACAAAGATGTTAACCAACTCAATTAATCCTTCAAGTCTTTAGCTGTTAATCTAGGGTTCTCTTTTACTTCATGGAGCATTCTGTGTTGTGCCTTTGGAGTGACCTTGGCTAGGTGCCTACTTCTGTAGAGAGTAGCCAAAGTACCAAATAGTCTCCATTTATAGACAAAAATCCTAGGTCTGACATCTCTTTTTTTGTGAGGCATGATTCATATCTGACGAGGCTGCTTGTGAATAGCACACTGATGCTGAGTGTTTTTATAAGTCAAGGTAGTTCTAAACCACACCTCTATTCTTGTTTCATTGATTGGACTCCAAGTTTGCTAACACCTCCAGTTGACATTTAATTGACACGCAAGCTGACATTTAGTGGCATCAGAAGCCTTGTGTTTTCATTACTTTTTCCACCATCACCTTTCATAAAGGTATGAAAGATGTTTGTGTTTTATTAGCTTAAAATAGTGTTTGTTGATATTTGTGATTTTGGTGAAGATCAGATCACATTTCATTACCAATTTATATTAAAAAAAAAACAGGACCTTGCAAACAATAACATTACTTTTTCTTGCAACTGTACCAAGAGAGTTATGTGTTTGACGTGTACTTAGTGATAATTTCTACTGGAATCACAGATAAAGTGCCAAATTTAAAATAGCTTGCAAACAACACAAATCAATGGTTAGACAACTATTTCTAGATCAAAAGCAGTATTCCAGCATTCTGTTACTAAAATTACTCTATAGCTGCTGCTCTACAGCGCACTTTTATCTGTGAGCAACTTCCTGCTGGAAAATGTGAGTGATGATATTCAAGGCATAAAAACAGAGATTCAAACACAAGACAGATGTGCCTTTGTACCATGGTGCTTTGTAACCTTAATGAGCATATTCTCAAGATTGATCTTTGTGCTGCTATTGCTTGAGGAGTTGCTTTGGACGTTTTTACTGATATTTTACTAAGATTTTACTGTCCCAAAAGGGATTGGGACAGTAAAGCCTTAATGTATGCAGCAAGACATAAATGTGGTTTTGCTCAAAGTCATTACATTGTTTACACAGAACATGTTGTGTAATAATCAACTCAGCTTGTGGTGTGTCTTTATCAATAGCCTTCAGAAAGATCATAGACTGAATATGAGACTCCCGATGTTCCAGATGTTCTTTGTTAAACATGTTCTGCGACCTAATAAATGTATTGTACTATATGGGACTTGATGTTACAGATCAGACTGCATAATGCCCTGTGGTCAACAGATCCCCCTAATTTTCATATTACACTAACTATAGGGAAATTATCAACATATTTTTTCAGTTGTACTATGTATTGACACCAAGATGTGTAATGGCACATTAATGAATACTAGAGCACATGTGTGTCCCATGTGTGCTGTGTTTGATAAGCAGATTTATCCCACATGTTCACAAATGGTTCTTTAATTACAAATGTACAGTAATTTGGCAAGAAAACCTGCATTTGAATCTATCTGGAAAAATTGATTGTCTACTGCTGCTGCTCTAATGACTTACAAAACTTGCAGAACAGAACTTACAAAACTCTGCATGAGTCCATGGTCCCAAAACTCCATGAGTGAACTACTGTACTGTACATGATTTCCATACACACTCAGCTCAGCCCAGCACACAGCCTGAGGAAAGCCTTGTCAGTCACAGTAAAGAGAAATCCAGCAGGACACGGGTCTGCCCCTGCAAAGTAAATTGAACAAGCTTTGTCCTTGCCTGGAAACCTTACAGAAACACAGGACTGTACTTGATGCACAGGACTTAAGAACATAATCCAGTCAACTGCAATTGAATAAATCATGTTACATTTACTATTTGCAATTAACATTTTCCAACATGGAAATAAAGAGTCATTATCACTGGAAATAAAATAATTTCTTGGAGACAAATGGTTATCTCATTTTCCATTACACTAGTGGAAAAAGTGTCAGGCAGCAATGATAAACCCTCTCCTCAACAACAGCCCGATTCTCTCTTTTTGAAGCAAAGTGGCAGCTGCAGACATGGACTATAAAATCCAAATTTGAGAATAGAAGCCTATCCGGTGTGTCAACAGCTCATGCTTTGAGTAGCAGTTGGGAACCTCAGCCCAGAAAATGGCTCAAAAACAAAGTCACTTGATGAATTAAAAATGCATTTCTCATATTATGGAGTTAACATTTCTGGTTTACTTCCAGGAGCTTAGAAAAGGAATCTGAGGCATGCCTTTGTTTTTTCCCTTCTAGACAAAGTTTTCCTGATTACTCTGGTGTTATGTCACTTGACTGCATGTTATCAAAAGACAAATTACATGGTGAGACAGCTAGAGAAATGGGTTTTTGCATGTGG